CGCAGGGTACATGACAAGTGTGTTAAGAAAGCAAATAATATCAAGGTAACCTCTGCAACTTCTAGGAGGACACATTCTAAATTTAAAAGTTTGCGTGTTCAAAATAAACTGAATAATAATTATTTCCTATTTTTCGGAGATAAACGTTTACTAAGATTGATTTTAATACCACCAATATAGATGGAATAAGTTCAATTGGCAAATTATCCCACAAACAGTACACTTAGGCAGAACACTAGAAAAGTTAGTTTTCTAGAGGCGGTGAAATCAGCACGGAGGAATTATGAGGTCAATCAACCAGAGTGATAGCGTTAATTCGTGGAAGATAAGCACTAGAATTAACATGACGCAGAAAGCGGGGACACGTTTTGAATTTTCTAACTTCAAGAAATGGAATATTCGCTAACTGACATATCTCCTCATATGAGAAACTGGATCCACAATGAGTAAATAGACTTCAACAAAAAATATCCGAATGTGAATGACTGAAGACGTCCGCCTTCCAGGTATTTGCATGGACAAGTAAGAAGACGTTTCGATCCGGTGCCGACACTTTTTCTTCGTTATCTATCTCTGAACCCTTTCAATCTAACTGCGGTCAGCGGAGTTCATCAGACCAAAGCGGGAACGGAAATACCCTAGGATGGGGAAAAGAAAGATGTGATACAGTTTTAGCTTTTTCCAGATGGAAGACATGGTGGAATATAAAAAACGAATCTGTGCATCCTCTGTAGAAACCCAATTTACATGAAGCAACTATGCTAGATTATTCGTGTAACTTAAACCCTAATTTCCGCTGGTGGATCGCCCTGCTGGTAGGCTATTATGCAAGACAAGGACTCAATAAGCATGGCGGGACCACAATGAAATTACAACTAACAATTGGGGAAAACTCCATCTTCTAACATGAGCTCCAAAGCGAGAGAGCATAGATTAAATTTTGTGAATTTTTTAGTAATGTTTACATTTCCTTTATGTAAAGAATGAAGAGGACAAGAGCTGAAACCATGCCTTCAAAAACGTCACCCATACTTAGCTGAGGCGTCGAGTAGCCATCACCTACTAAGACCTGCTGGTTGTGGCTAGACAACTAAGAGCGGAGGTGACATTCCGAGGACTTCCAGTTTCACTGAGGGACGTTCGAGTGATACCTTGTCGAAAGTTTGGGTAAGGCCAACGTAGATAACAACCCCTTATGCTACTCATTACGATGGCGACTGCCTAGGTTCAAAAAGGGTAAGTGACACGTTTCGCATGATCTTCTAGGTAGAAAGCATGCTGGGATGCCCTTGACAGCATATTAGCTAGGCATAAAGCAAGAAGTTGATTTAAAATTTTATGTTTATAGAGCTTTGGACAGACCTGGAGTTTTATTTACACTTCGATAATTAACTATATCCGAGCGAGGTCCTAACTTGAAAACTGAAAGAATGATAAATACATATATAGAAGGTTCGATACATTTGGAGAGGGCAGCAAATCATGATTTAGGACTGCGCTATCGGTAGGGTTGCCTCGTAGGACAATTTATGATAAAAAACCTACTTGCATCCTCTTAGTAGAACGAATTTCGTCCCATTTGACATGTCTTTGCGCGCGACAGTATCTGCCGTGATCTGGGACCGCGACCAGTAATCAGTACACATTGTGTTTTTCAAAATGTAAGCACCGAAACCGCGCGATGGAATTACACAACAGCAGCGACAGAAGTAGCAGGAGGGATTCAAAAAGACTTTTCGCGCCATTCAAAACACAACATTTTTTTTCAGAAAAGGACAATGTGATGGGAAACTGTCTGGCATTGGCACCGTATATCGGTAAGTACAATCCAGAAAGGACTCGTCCAGGGGGAGAACAATAGACGCTGGATCACTTGGTTGTTATAAATAGCCAAATGTTGTTCCACTTTGCTGAGACTCTGTCTCAGTTGGGTAACAAGTTGACGAGGGTTTTCAGTTCCGTTTGTGAGAAGTCCTGTTAAAAAACTCCAAGTTATGAGTGTTTTAGCGTAAAGCGCCTAGACAAAAAGAGGCTGGCATCCTGGCTACTGGTTATGATGACTTTAAAAGGTCTGGGACGCGTTGGTTCAGATTGGCCCACTAATCATTTTCCCAGACGGAAGGATAATTCCAGCTAGATTGACCTATTGGTTACCAGCATTTTGTTTAGAAGTTCATGGAAGAGCTTCATGTCGTCGGAATACCGGCCGATGGGAGTAGTGGCGGTCGATTAAGGTAAAACCTGTATTATGGAACTTTTCCCTTTATTGGTGGCACTTTTCGTTCCCTCGACGCTGTCGGTCAATTCCTGGTGCAAAGCTGTCGTGTTGCATACAAGTGATAGCGGAGCGGATGCTGTTTGGGTATACATCAATTTTGCACTTGTTTTTCCGGTTTCGGCGAAGTCCATGGCTCAGACGATTTTGGTCGCAAGTGATAGTTCCGCTGAATGAATGGATACCACTGCAAGTGCTTGGTGACTAATCCGCAGAATTTCCTGTTTATTCCTCGGCCATGTTTCAATGCAGATGGTGTCATTGTGCTTTACTTTATGGGAAACCCCCTGTTTAGAAAAATAAATATCGCTAACAGAAAAGAAATACCATTTCAATGCAGATGGTAGGGTATGACCCTAACAATTTCCTTAAATGCCTACTTAATGTATTTCAGTAGCCGTAGTTTTGATTTCCAACATTATTTGACTTTGATTCAGTGCAATAGCTCCTGCATTGATTGCTTTTATTTTTTTCCCAAAGTACCTTCAGCCACGTTTCAAGTAGTGTAATTGTGCAATACTTGATGGGTAACCCGCTGTTTGGATGAAGAACCATCGCCAACAGAAATAAAATATCATTTCAAACAATTTTTACAAAACCCACATTTTTCCATCTGCCTTGGTGGGTGTTTGTGTGTGAGTCGCAGCCCATTGTTGGATCAGGAGTCCCCGCTAAAATCCAAACTGGTAGAATTTGGAAAACGGCGAAAAGGTGAGACATTGATCGGCTTGAGCCAAAGTTCCACGGGGTGAGTTGGCTGCCAAGCCGGGAACTGCAGGCGAACAGATGCTGACAATCATGCGGAGAAAGGCCGCAGTCGAGACAGTTGTCAGATGTGGACGGA